CCGCCACCTCCCGCCCGGTCGCTACCTACTGCTTTTCTGACAAAAAGGGGGGGAAAATCCTCAAACAGCTCCGCGTTCCAGAGGGAGGCGCCCCAACGCGGGAGGCGCCGGCCCGGGAGCCTGAGAGTGGCGGCTGCGCCTGGACTCAAGCGCCAGGCTGGGTGTCACTCCGCAGGTCAGCTGGGCCTTTGTCAGAGGAAACCTCGACTATCCGGGAGGATCGCCTTAGGAGAAGAGAGAGGGCTGCCGGAGGAGCCCTGGGCTAGGCCCACTGTCTGTGTCCCCAGGGCTCAGGTATTCACCGCCACGACAAACACGATGCGCCTCTTGCTAAGAGTCAGGGGCCTGGGGCAGGGTAGACGCAATCGCCGGCGCTCTGAATTGGAAGAGTGCTCCATGGTCTGGGCTCTTGGGGGCTCAGGGGTGGCTGTGGCCCCTGGGCTAGAATGTCAGACCCTTTGGGATTACAACCCAAGGCCTGCCCTTCCTTCCTTCTTTCTTTCCTCCCTCCCTCCCTCTCCTACCCTGCGTCTCTTCTTTCCTCCTTCTTTCAATATGGGACAGAAAACCGTATGACCATCTACTACAAAATCAGCATTTTGTCGTTAGAACATTTAATTACTTTAAAACCCCGCAAGATAGATATAATTATTTCTATTTTATAGATGAGAAAACTGAAATTCAGAATGTGTGTTTTGCTCAAGGTCACACAGTTATTAAAGCAGGTTGCTGGGTTCTATACTAGTTTTTTTGGGCTGAATGGGCCTTGCCCCTTCCTGCACAGGCCACCTCTCTGGGCCGACACAGTCTTAGAACCAGCTTGTCAGAGCTTATCACCAAGCTGAAGCCTGTGTAGCAAACAGCAGGCACAGCAGAATGTTTTGGGGGACAATCTGCATGCAGCTCAGTCCTGTGCTTCCTTCTCCTCTGGCTGGCTGCCCCTTAACCCAGCTCCCCGAACATCAAACATTGGCCTGCAGGGCCTGTGCCACTTGGAGAGCCTAATGTGCAGTTGGGCTCAGTGCTCTCAGGTCTCTCCATAAAATTTCCAAGGCGTTTGCCCCACAGATAGCTAGGTGACCCCTGGACGGCCCCTTCTCTTTTCAGGACCTCTGGTTTCTTAAATGTAAGCTAAGAGAGTTGGGGTCCATTCTTTTATGACAGAATGGATCCCTGTTTTCAGAAAGTAGAAAGCAGATAAGACTGCCTGGTTTTAAGAATCCTTAATTTCTTGTTGTCCCTAAGGCAGAACTGGGGGCATGAAGGTTACTCCCAACTGCTCCATGCCTCTGGTCCCCACCACACAGGAGAGGTGTGCCTTCTGGTCCCATCCTTCCCTATAGGTCTCACAGATCTACTCCAAGAAGCAGGGCCAGCCCTATGGAGGCAGCTGGACCAACAAGGCATGGTCACCACCAGCTTAGCTCCACAGAGTGGGGGTACTGCAGGGCTCCTGAGCCTGACCAAGCAGCTTCCTGGCCCTGATACCCTCCCTGGCCCAGTGGGTCTTGGGCTCCAAGCCTCCATTAAGGAAAGAGCTTATTCATGGGCGGACTATCTTGGGTCTGACCCAGTTTCCTGACCCATTCTCTACTGCCCCACTGACTGCAAGAAGCCCTGGTCTGCCCCTGATTTCCACCCACCGCTAGGGGGCTTTTAGAAACCTGGAGCTCCAGCCTCCCTTAGTGGGAGAGCCAGGCAAGGGCAGGACGGTACCTAACCTCAGGTGAAATATCCTGAGCTTCATGCCCACCCAAACTGGGGATGTGGGGCCAGTGAACTCTTTAATTATGTAAAGGGGAAGCAGGCCCAAGACACCCTCTGGAGTAGAGAGTGAGCCCATCCCAGAAAATACCCTAGTTCCCGCCCCCGCCATTCCACAGTTCCTTGGTGCATGTATTGCACTGGTAAAGATTTTTCCCACACCCCCCTGAGAACAGGACACCTTACCCCCTTCAACCCAAGTATTTTGGCTGGACAGTCTTAGGGGGCAGGGCTGACCAAGAATCTGTGTGTAAATGTGAGGAGGGGGGTTCATATTGTCAGTGATGAGTGTGAGGGTGTTTACAAGCATACAAGCACATACACACTCCTTATTCAATACCATGTATAGCAACTCATTACCCAGGACATGCAGAAACTGGCAGGGTATTTGCATCAAACTCTAAGTTGTATTTATAGTATACCCTGACAAACATAAATACATACATCCACATGGTCCAGCCATCTAGACCAGACTATATATGCTAAGGCATAATTGCTATATATCAGGAACTCTCTCAAATACTTTTGCTCTCACTTAGGGAATTCCTTAAATCATCTTCTCTAATAGAAACTAGAATGTGCAAAGGAGAGGAGAGAAAGGAAATGAGAGATGAAGAAAGTCAGCGATTGCCTCAAACTTTTAGCACTGGGGGAAATGACCAAACTATAGAGTTATGGAGAAACCCCTAGGGCTGGAATTAGAGACAGATGTCTTCCTGTGGGCATCCATTGGGAAGTGGGGGTATAATCTGTCTCCCTTCTCTGTGTGGGATCTCTCCTCCCATCCCTGTGTAGAGCAGGAATCCCTTACCGATTCTTTCATTTCATCCTCCATACTTGGCGAGACTGCCACTCAGCTTTGGGTGCTTCTTGCCTTTCAGCTCTTGGGGACGGAGAGAGGCTGTCCTCCAGTGCTGGCCTGGGCCAACTTCCCCGACCTCCCTGAAGCCTCTGCCCTGGAGACTTTCCTCTTTTGCTTTCTCTGCTTGGGATAGCAGTTAGGGGGTGCCAAGGACCAACCCTGCAACAGACAGCCTCAACCAGCTCAAGCAAAGGCTCTATATGTATTCTTTGTTATCATTCAGCAAGCCAGGATTACATACCAAGGACGTAAGTGCACACATTACCAATGACTTATGAATGCAACACACACTGTGGTCTCAGTAAGCACTCCTTGAGTATTAGGCATATGATTATTACAATGCCCAAGATATGTGCCCTCTCCGAAGGCGAATGACAGACATACCCACCTCCCATCCCGTCGCCAGGACACGACTTATACTGTCCACACATATTTGCAGCAGGCATAGACTACACAGCTGCCCATGGGAGACATGTTCACACCACAGAAAGCACAGACAGACACACGCACAGCAGTCCACTTTCTTTTCCACAACTCCTCATAGTCAGACAATGGTGCAGTGGCTCACTAGAAGCACCCAGATACTAGGCCTGACCAGTCTCTTGGGCTTCCCATGCCAGCTGAACCTCCCTCTCCAGCCTGCTCCTTCCCGCCCCCCTGGCACTGGCAGGCTCCAATGGAGGTCGCAGGGTGATGCTCCTCAGAACAGCCTGGGCCTCATCCTCCACCTTCTAGCCTCCCCAGGGATACCCAAGGGAGGAAAAGTGTCCCGAGTCAGAGACACTTCCCCTTGGGCCCAGCTACACATAACAGGGATCCCACCCTCATGACCCCACAGCATGACCACTAGTGTAGGATGAAGTGGGAGGCCTGCATCCTTGGTCCCTGTCACTAGCTGGCCCTCACCCGCTGGTCAGCCTGGACCTGTGGCTCCTGCTGTCTAGGCTGAGTGGGGGCAGAGAGGGACACATGGCTGGAGTGGGGTCCAGCCCAAGCTGCACCGCAGTGGAGGGAAGAGCTGGCTGATACCTGTCATCTCATCACCAGACTGAAGGCCAACCACCCCTAATACCCCTTGAGCTCCCAGGACCGCAACATGGTCAAATGCCCGTGTGCCTGCGAGGAAGCACCCGTCTGAATTCGTTATTGGGAGAGTCTCAGTAGAAGAAAAGAAGGGAAAGAAAATAGATTTCTACAGCCACACAGTATGTTCATTCCTCTCTGATACTCCTAAATCTCTTACACGTATCTCAAGGTAAATGAATTCTGATTATTAAAAAATAATAAGGCAATCGATGTAAGTCGCTCCTTACATTTGTGTAGAGGTTTGCAGCCTATAGAACATTTCCCCAAACAGGATTTTTATCTATTCGGAATAAACTCTCCTGGTTAGTATATTTGTCTGGAAAAATAGAAACGTATGAGTTCAATATAATGAACACACAGTCCATACACCTAGTACGACTGCATAAGAGGTAAAATACAGACTTGAATAGGTGCAAAAATCCAACAAATCCTACCTACGCCCAGCGCTTGTGAGCGAACCACGACTCATAAAGTCTCTTTGATGACGTTAAATAGCCACTACAGACCAGCGATGACACAGAAAACAAACAATCCCCCTGAAAACAGCAGCAACAACCACAAACGCCCTCCACTCGGGCTGCCCTCAACCCTTATTTATCTGAAAAAGGATAAAACTTGGCTGGAAATCTCCCTCTTGTAACCAGCTGCTGAACAAACTTAGGCGAGGCAGAAATGATATAAGTCCGTGTTAAAAGAAAGAACAAAAAATTTATTTGGGAATTGACAAGACGATAACAACAAACAAACAAAACAACAAAAGTGCTCTAGTTCTTTCTAGAAAATTTGGTCCTCCAAACGACACACTACAGAACAACCAGGTCTAGGGTTTTCGGGCCAGCCGGCGGCTCCGGGCCACAAGCCCGCCTGGTCCGACTGCTGCCGCCTGGTCCGACTGCTGCCAGGTTTCGCATTTCTCCTGCCCAAGGTGGGAGAAGCAAGACGTTTGCAAAACAAAAATCAGAGAGGACGAGCCGTCCCTGCAGCGTCCGCCAGGCAGGCAATGATCTCCCGGCACTCTGGGCTTGCATCGGAAGATCCGGGGAAATTTGTTTTTGATTTGTTTTTAGATAGATGGGGGGAACCCCCCAAATTCGTAAAGGAAACCAACTTTTACTGAGCATATTCTCCTACCTCTCTGAACATAGCTTTTTGAAGGCCCGACAGGAATTCTACTTCAAATCTCCTGGAAGAGATTTTCATGTTTTGCTTTAGCAAACTCCAAGGCCACAATACTTCGCCGGTTTTCCCGGTTAGTTTTTTTTCCTTAAAAAAATATTTTAAAACGTCATCTAAAACAGCCCTCCCGATCTTTTGGGCGAAACATTAGCCAGCCGCCGCGGGCCTGGAGGTGCCCGAAGCGCCGAGACCGAGAGCGGAGGACACGCAGCCTGTCTCGGAGCGGGGATGTGCTGTAAACCCCAGCGCAGGCCGCCGAGCGAGGCAGCGGGGCTCCCCGCTCAGGCCCAACCCTCGCCCCATCCAGTGGGCCCCGGCAAGCGGCTTCTGAACCGCTCCAAGAGGCTACGTGGAGGAAACACACGTTCGTCCCTTTCTCGGGCGGCGCGGGTCTCGTCGCCCGCCCGGACCCGCGCTTCCAGCCAAGGATTGCGCGGCAGCCCGGCGGGGAAAGCCGAGCGCGAGCGCACCGACCTGTGTGAGAAGGCCAAGAGGTCTGCACCGCCGACGCCCGGCTGCACCTCGGCCCCGGCACTTCCTCTCGGCTCTGAATTTTGGCATGGGGTGTCCAGCCCGGACGCCGGGGCACCGGGAGGAGACGAGGCCTGCAGAAGGCGCGCAGAGAGGCGACCTGCAGGCTGGGGGAGCGGGAGGGAAGAGAGGGCAGGGAGGCGAGCAACAGGAGGAGAAGCGGAGGAGACAAAAGAGGGGCGAGAGGAGCTGAGGGGAGCGAGGAGGCGCAGAGGGCCTTGGACGCTGGCTCAGAAGATGGCCCCAGAGGGCGCGTGGTCCGGCCGGCGGCGGCTGCGGCTGCGGCCGGCGTCGCACGTCCCTGCATCCTCAAAGCCGGCGTGCGCTGGACTCTCAGAGATCAAGGCGCGAGTGCAGCGTGCCGGTCTTGCTGTCGTGGTCCCAATAAGAGCAATGCATCATGGCGAGCTCGGGCTGCCGGGCGCAGGCGAACTGCAGGCCCGGCGCACTGGTGGGCGCGGGCGCCGGGGGCGCGGCGGTAGCCGGGCTGGCTGGGCTGAGCTGGCCCGGGGGCGGTGCTGCGGCCCCGTGGTGCGGCGGGGCAGGCGGGGGTGCGGCGGCCGCGTGCAGATGGTGTGCGTGCGGGTGTGAGTGGGGGTGAGGCGGCGGCGGGGGCGCGGCCGGCGGGCCTCCCAGGCCGTTGTACGAGTTCACCACACCGGGAGGCAGCGCCATGCTCTGCACGCGTGAGTACGGCCCATACGAGGCGGCCGGGCCAGCCAGCCCCTTGACCACCGCGGCCGCGCCCGGGCTGCCCGGGCCCGCGGCGGCAGCGGCAGCCGCCGCCGCCGCAGCGGCCGCCGCCATCTGGCAGGAGGCGTAGGGCATGGGTGAAGGCGGCTGCGGTAGCGGCCAGGAGTTGTTGAGGAAGCCGGACTGCAGGTACTTGGGGGGCGCCAGGTAGCCGTAGCCGTCGGCCCCCGCGCCCGCTACGCCGCAGCCGCCCGCGGCGCCTCCGGCCCCGAAGAGCCCCTTGCCGGGCTGGAAGTGCGCGGGCGGCGGCCGGAAGGGCCGCTTCATGCGGCGGCGGCGCCGGTAGTTGCCCTTCTCGAACATGTCCTCGCAGGCCGGGTCCAGCGTCCAGTAGTTGCCCTTGCGCTCGCCGCCGCCCTCGCGCGGCACCTTGATGAAGCACTCGTTGAGGCTGAGATTGTGGCGGATGCTATTCTGCCAGCCCTTCTTGTTCTTCTCGTAGAACGGGAACTTGGCGATAATGTACTGGTAGATGCCGGACAGAGTGAGCCTCTTCTCGGCGCTCTCGCGGATCGCCATGGCGATGAGCGCCACGTACGAGTACGGGGGCTTCTGAGCGGGGTCGGGCTTCTCCGGGGCTGTCCCGGCGCCGCCGCCTCCTCCTCCCTTGCCGGGGCTCGGCGGCGGCGGCGCCTCCGGCTCCTTGGCTGCACGGCCGGTCTCCGGGGCCAGCAGGGCCCCCGCGGTGTCCTCGGGCTCGGGGTAGCTGGCCATCATGACAAAGCCGGCGCGCCGCGGCCAGGCAGCCCCTGCTCTTTTCGCTTGGTGCTGGCGCTGCAGAGTCCGGGCGCACGAGTCCGCTCACCGCCGAGTCTCAAACTTCTGGAGACTGCGGATGCCGCCCGTGCTCGCTCGCCGGCGGCCTCTCGCTCCGCTCCTCTCCTCTTTCCCTTCCCCTAGGGAGAGGCCGGCGGGAGTGGAGCTCAGCCTCTGGCCATGGGGAGTCCGCCCAACAGAGAGGGGCTCCGGCCCCGCCGCCCCTCCCCGCCCAGGCCAGTCCCCGCCTCGGTGGGTTTTCTTTTCGGCGCTCTTCCCCTCCCCCCACCCTCCGGTTTCCCGAGGCACGACCCGCGTCTCTGGCGGAGCTGCCTCCTGGAGTCCCTAGTGCGCCAGGAGCCTCGCTCAGTTCTGATTCGTATGGGCTCCGCCGAGTTCCGCTTGCGTCAGGCGCCTTCGCCCCTATAGCGGGGCGGCCAGTCGCGCACGGGCGAGTTCATCTCCAAGTCACTTTTTGTAAACGCCCCGCGCAGCCCGGACCGGCCTGCCCCCTCCCAGCGAGCTGAGGGGGCCCGGCGGACGACCTGGCTCACGCTCTCGCAAGCCCTTGCAATCCGCGGGTGCTCGCTCAGCGGACTGGGCCGGGAGATGCCGAGGGCCCCGGCGGGGTCCGTCCGCACTCGGCCAGTGCCCAGGGAGCTCGGGCCCTAGCGAGGAGAGGCGCGCCAAGCCTCCTCGCGGCTTTCAGGTGAAAGAAAACGACTCCCCGGCTCTACCCTTTGCTGCGGTCTCGGCGTTAAACTTCTGGCTTGGGGCTGGGGGGAGGGGCGGGACGGCGAGGGGGCCGGACGGCGGTGGGGTGGAGAGAGCTGCGCGGTGGCTTTGGGAAAATCAGCCAAGAAACGCGTGTCACTGAACCAAGAAACCTCGGCCTGGCCTAGCCTGTCCGTCGCGCTTCCCGAGTGACTGGGCCGGATGGGGCTGGGGAGATGATCGGGAAGGAGGCGCCCAGGAGCTCCGCCTGAAGCCCCTCTGCCCTTCCTTGCGCTGCCCCTGGACCTAGGGACCAGACCCCTCCTCAGAATCCGCGTTGTAATCCTACGAGTTGGATGTGTGTTTTAACAACACCAAGTAGACCCCACTCTAGTCCTGCTCCAACACGGGCGTTGCTGCGGGGCTTTGGGGGACTTCATTTGTGTGTGCACCGGTATTACATATAGAAATCACGGGGAGGGTCTGTTCTTGAGACACGTGAGATACCAGTTGCCCAGGTGCACATGTGCTGGTGCAGAAACACAGGTATGCACACGTACAAGGTGAGATTTATATTATGCGGTAAACATTTATACTTACGATATGTAATGGTACATGTGTGTCACCTATCAGTAAGTGTGGTTCTGGGATGTTGCATCTTCTTTCTTTTTCCTCTCTCTCTTTTCACTCTCCTCCCCTCTCTCCTTTCTTCCCTTTCCCCCTTTCTTTGTCAGTATTCTGTCACGGACTGGAAAGAAAAACGAGAGGCTGTGAGGGACGCATTTATTCAAATCTCTCTCCGGACAAGACATTTGTTCTGATCTTTCTCCAGGGCTGAGGGGTGAGTGCTCACCTACCTTCAGCAGAAGTCTGAATGGTTCCCAGTCACACCTGCATGCCCGGAGACAGGGGAAATTAACGCTGGCAGGAAAGGCAGCTGTGCTTTTTAACAGCTAACTTAGCCTTAATAAAAGGTCTGCAATCTTAAAGTGTGAGAGAGATGCCCATCCGGTGTTTTGAATCTTCATGCCCCAAACTGCTTGGTACTGAGGGGGCCAGGATACTTTGGGGAGGAAGGTGGACTGAAGGGGTGTCATGCAGGGGTGTGTTTTATGTCTGGACTGGCATGGCCAGCGTGGCCGCCCCAGTGCTCATTACTACCACTTCCTCCTAGGCTGCCCCGTCTCTGAGGAAGCCTAAGGAGCCCTTAGTGGCCTATGCGCCCGGCACCCACGGCCACCTGCATGGGTTGCCTGCTTCCCACTCAGCTCTCTGATCTAGATTCTGAGATTAAAGGAAAGGAGGACAGGGTGATGGGGCTCTTTGGAATTCAGCATCTTGAAAATGACTCCAGAGAGGTCAGCAGGGCAGTCTGGTCTGACCATTACAGTAAGAGGGAACAGGGCTCTCCTAAACTCACCTCAGTAAATACCCTCCTCTACCCACCATTGAAAATATCTCAAAGTAGCTTGATTATTTTCTCCCGCTGCTCCCAGTATACACCGGCGGAAGCAGCACCTCTTCAAAAACCTCTGTGGCTGTCTCCTGAGCAGGAGTGCAGGTGCTTTTCTTCTTTCTCACCCCCATCCATGCCCAGGCAAGGGGTGGGAGTGGTGTGAGGTTTGGGGCTGCTGCAGATCTACCGTAGTGCCCATCCTCCCCCTGGCCTGGGCAGGGGAAAAAACAGCTGGGTCTGGCCCCAACCTGGGGTGTGTGTGTGTGCTCTCTCCTCTCCTCTCCTCTTTTTTTCTGACCACCCAGGCTGGCTGGCTGTCTCTCTCTCACCCTCACAGGCATTTCCGCTGCTGGCCTGCAGCAGCCAGGTGTAACAGCATTGTTTTGTGTGTCATCACTTCCCTGAATTCCAAACTCGGCTCCCTTTTCAGCCTTTAGAGAGAGAGAGAGAGAGAGAGAGAGTGTGTGTGTGTGTGTAGGAGATGGGGGTAAAGGAAGGAGTTCCTCTAAAGGATTTTCTGAGTGGACAGGTCCTGCTCCTTTCAGGTATTGATCTCTCCAGGAAGCAGTGGGGCGCGCCTTGGTTTACTTCTCAACCCTCTAGGGCCGGCTGGGTAGGGCCCCGCTTCCTGGCTCGGTCGGGATCCCGTCCGGCAGGCAGACCGCGTCGAGGCTCTTGGGGGGGGGGCATCCTCTCTCCCCGCGGCATTGCAGCGACGCCGAGCCCCAGCTCAGTGACCTCGGGGCGGTGCCCACCTCCGAGGGCCGGGCGGAGCTCCTAGCCTCTCCGCCCGGTTTTCCCGGGGCCTGCAGCTGCAGCTCAGGAGCCGCCAGTGCCTTCTGCCCGTCCTCCCGCGCGGGCGCCGCGGGCTGACACGGTGCGGGAGACCCGCCGACGGGGCGCGGCCCGGCTTCCGCGCCTGCCCCGCGCCGGCGAGGCCCCGACAGCCGCCGCGAGCAATTCACTAGGCCCTGAGGAAGGGATGGAGGGAGACGCTTCTCTCCGCACCGCCGGGAATCCTGCAACAGGCGCCGAAGAGGCAGCGCCTCTCGGGATCCCGGCAGCCGGGTCCTGCCAGGTGAGCGGCCCAGCGGCCCTGACGCGGGCAGCGCTTCCCGAGGCACGAGTCGCCTGGCCCCACGACGCCGCCGGCTGCTCGAACCAGGTCCCGTGGTGTCCTTTCCTGGCGGGGCCCTGAAATACCCACGGGCTTCCCGCCCTGCGCAAAGATAGAGGACCTGAGCCTGCAGCAGCCCTCTCCTTGCGGGTACGGCCTCTGCGGCGCGCGCGGCGGGAAAAGGGAAGCCTGGATGCGTTCCTTAGCACATCCCTACCCGACTGCACATCTCAACGGTCAGCACTACTCCCAGCTCCTCCTGCACCCCCATGGACGCCAGGTCTCTCTACCCCCCTCACATTCCTCCATCCACTTCTCTCCAGTCAACCCTGTATCCCCTCCAGTTCTCCTTTTCTCCACTACCCTCACACGCTCACCTGTTACATATACTAGTTCAGATCCTGCACATTTTGGTGGAAAACGTGTCACTCTGATGCCTGGACTTTAAGCCTATTTACACACTCGGGCACTCAGCTATCTCAAGACACAGAGTGACCTCTTGTCTGCAAGTCTGACTCCCAGAAGCCTGTTGATTCTTTGATGTCTTTGGCCCAGGGTTAGGGTGACTGGGCTGCCACCCGGATGTTCCCTTGGTGAGGTTGCTGCTCAGAGTTCTTTGGGAAGCTCAGGTACAGAACATATCCCTGAGGCACTTTAACACACACAGACCACTCACAGGCTTCCTCTCTGTTTTGTAGCTGAACTCCCTGCCACTCCGACAGGCTGCAGCCTTGAGTGGGTGCTTGGTTCTTCTGCCCATACCCACACAGCGCCAGGCCCCAGGCCAGCCGGTATTATTCTGGTTGGGATTAGCAGAGACACTTACCCAAATATGTGCTTGGGAGAAAGAGTGAGAGAGAATAGGGAAGTGGAGAGGGGGGGAGAGAGAGAGAGAGAGAGAGAGAGAGAGGAGAAACCACTATCCATTATGGGGAAGAACTCACAGATGAAAGCTGTCTCCAGTTGGTATCTTAGTGAATCCTACTGCCCACACCCTGTGGGTGGCTGGGCTGGGAGGTAGTAGGTTAGAGTTCTGGGCTCCTCCGTACCTCACTGATGTTGGGCCTCAAGTTCACGATCACCTCTTTGCCCCAAGGAGTGTGTGCCTTACCCTTACCAGGCAGACTGCAGAGCAGTTGTAGGCATTTCTCCTGGTTGAGCCTAACTCAGGGAGAAAAGGCAGGCGGGGCTGGTTCCTGGGCAATGTGGGAACTTCCCTCTCCAAAGACTTTTGGGATGCTCCCGGAGAGACAATTCTAGGGTGGCAGGAACTGCTGACCAGCTTCCTTTGGTATCCCGTGGCCATAACTCCCATGTCCCCAAACCATTTTCTTCAGCCCTCACTCTGCCACTAGGCGCCCCCACCCCATGCTTGAGAGCGTGATATGTTGTTGTTCCCAAAGTTGCCTTGTTGCCTTTCTCCACACCCAGACAGTAAGTCTTGATGGGTAGAGACTCTGTCCTCCAGTTGTCACTCAGTGCTTCCCACTGAGTGGGATTGACTTAATGCATTCTAATGGCATTGGAAAGTGCCTCCACTCCACAGAGAGAATTGAGAGATGCCCCTTTCCTTGTCATAAAGCTAGAATTTCCAACAAAGGGACTGCAGGTGGGGAAGAGTGGCTGGACCATGGAGGGCCAGCTCAGGATCTGAGAGTCCCCTGGCATTTGGGACTCTCTGCTCATTATGGCTGGACACCCATGATGCTGAACCTTAGGCAAGGACACAGATCACCTTCCTCATGCTGAGGACCTGTGTGAGACACTTAATAAACCTTACTAGAAATAGAATAGCCTTTGTACCTGCAGCAGCCAGCTTATAAGGTAAGGCCTGCTGTCTGGAACCACAAGAAGGCCCATGGAGGGGTGGCTGAAAGAGCCCTTCCTCTTGGTCCTCATTCCCTGCTCAAGTTTCTCTCCACAAATGGGCACCATGTAAAGAGCCTCTGTGCAGGAGGGCAGTTTTAGATGCCTATCTTTGATGAAGTCCAGAGGAAGGGGAAGAGAAGGACCGAGTTTTGTGTTTTGCATTACTGGCCTTCTGAAGATTTCCCTCATGCCAAAATGGTGTATGTGTGTGTGTGTGTGTG